GGCTGCATCCACGGAGAGGAACTTCCTGAAGGATCTGAAGATGGTGGTGAGACGGTCGTCCTCTCTGACGGTGATTCGTCCGCCGGTTCAACAGATTCGCTGTATCAAGTACAAGATGGCATGCTTGGGGGCTGTTCCGATGGCCCCAGTATTACGGACCCCTATGAGCCGCCAAGATGGGCAGGATTCTTCATGGCTGGGACTCAACCCGGCCAAAACTCTACAACCGCTGCAGCAATAATGTCCAAGTCAAGAGCGGCCGGGGCAGGAGGCCCTGTGCGCCCGCCGACTCAGATACTGATGGATCTCATGGATAAGCTTACGGCCCTGTTAACCGCCACGGTTATTCCTGCAAATCAAGATGAGCATGACGCGGAGGTGGCACAGGTGCGCGAGGAGATAGCTCGGGCCAAGGAGGCCTTGGCAGCTGAGGACACCAGGTTAGCTACAGAACGGGCGGCTTTGGATGCACGGGCGCAGCAGCTCCAGTCAGAGGCTTTCCAGCTTACGACGAACCTGAACGCATCTAATGAGGTGATGAGAAGGAGGCACCAGAAAACTCAATCCCGTTTGCCTCCGATTTACAACCCTCGGAACCTTTTCGCTACACCCGGTGCCGGCCCTAGCGACCCGCCCGAAGCAAATCAGTTCATGACAGCCGGAGCGGGAGGACCGGCTCAGCCTCGAGAGATGGCACCTCCTCATGGGAGTATGGCTCCGCCCGTTTATGTACCAATACCACCGGGTCACTTTTCCAGCCCCATGGAGAACTTAATCGCAGCATCGGCGCGTTTGGCGGCTCTCCCAGTGGACGGTGATGATCCGACAGCAGTGGAGTCCCAGAGGATCATAGAACTTGTCCAGACGGCCCTGGCTCAGCAAGAGACTTATTCTTATAGTCGGGATAGGATTCATTCGACTCCTCCGCCTTGGTTAGCACCACCTCGTCAAAACCGGAGTCCAAGTGACAGCAGGCACATGGAGTCAGAAGCTTTGTCAAGCAACGCCCAGCGCCGTAACCAGCCCGGTGGCTATAACCCGACACAAGACCGAATACGTCAGGAGAACGAGCGGACGACTCAGCTAGCGGCTCAACAGATGGCTCATCAAGATTTCTCAGAGTAACCGACGACTTCCATTGAGGTGGGAGTGGCTACAAGGACCGACGGTGTTCCTTGTTTGGTGCCGGCTCTGCGTAATGTACGCCTACCCAAGGACTTCAAGGGACCTCGAAAGGTGCCGAATTACACGGCCGACTTACAGCCCGGAGAGTGGATCAAAAGTTATGAGATGGCCATGGAGCTGTTGGAGGTCAGCGACGCGACAATGGCTAAGTACTTCACCATGATGTTGGATGGAACGGCCCAGTCTTGGTTAAAGGGCTTGCCGCCCAATTCCATTAATTCATGGGCAGAGCTAAAGGCCCGATTCATCCAGAACTTCAAAGAC